AAGCAGCTACTCCTATTGGTGTGACGATTTCTGGATGCAATTGGGATGGAGATGTAAAATAATCTTAGAAGTCAAAATCAATCCAGTATACCCTGAGCTATTAATTCTTGCAATACTGTCACCCCATTGTCGCTAAAGCCATGTCACTGAATATACTTGATATTTTTGTTATTCACTTTAATTGTTCGATATCTTATATGTATTATCAATAAATCAATAACTGATGTAATTGCGTGTTTTTCTTTAAAATTTTCAAATTTATATATTTATAAATTTACACTGATCAAAAAAATTAGAGGAACATTTTCTTCAATAAATTTTTGCTCATTTTCAAAGTTTAATTACTCAGCGAATAATTAACATAAAAAAATCAAAAAAGGATTTTACAGAAAAAACTCTTTAATATAAAGTGCTTTTGTTTAATTTTTAACAGTTTTATACTCAAAAACGTGAATAGTTTTAAATAAGGACGTATTTAATATATCTAAGGTCTTAAAATTTGCGATCGAAAAATTTCATCAATGCATTGTAGCGCATGGCTGTTACTCCTGGAGAAAGCATAGCGACCAGATCTGTCCGCCCAGATCATAATACCGTAATATCTGCCCAAACTATTACAAAGCTTTTATTAAATGAACGAGCAGTGGTGGTCAAAGTGTTCTCTATGACGCCGCCATATGCATGGCCATTCAAGACGAATTGACAAAATCGAGACTCATCAGTAAAGGAGACACGACTTCACTGACTCTGATTCTAATTTACGCGATCCTTTGCGATTCATAGATAAGTGTGTCGATGAATTGATGTTAACTGTGACACTCGTTTTTGAGATCTTAGTTTCTTTTAAACAATTTTAATTAGTTTAATAGCTAATGGTTTGTGTAAAACTTTTGCTGAAATTCGGAATGTAAAGATGTTTCTTTTCCAAAGAAGCATCTGCGTTACTCGATCTTGACGAACACAAATTTTCGACGTTGACCGTTTCGACAAAACGTTCAGTTTCCTGATAACGAGACCTTGCGATACGACGAGTTTAGAAAATGGCAACAGTCGCTCGTCAATTTGGCGTTGCACAATCAGTCGTATCGCAAGCGTGGACTCGTTACCATTTTCCAGAAGTGGAAAATAATGTCAGTCAAAGAAACGTTGCTCGTCAATTTGGCGTTGCACAGTCATGTCGCAAATATGGTCTTATCAGGAAACTGAACGTTCTTGTCAACCAAAAGATCAAGGTCAAAAACGTAAAACTTGTGCTCGTCAAGATCTAACAATTGTCGATGCAACACTTCAGAAAATAATTATCACTGCAGCTCGAATTTCAAAAGAAGTTTTGCATAATCAAGCAATTAGCAATCATACCATTCGAAATCGTTTAACAGAAACTGGCCTAAGATCTCAAAACGAGTGTTACAGTTAAAAGCAGTTCATTAACACACTCGTCTACAATTCGCCAAGAACCACGTAAATTGGACTCTCCTAATTTCCACTTCAATAAGTCTGACCATCGTGAAATTGTTTTTAATACAATTATTACTGATTTACGCTACTTTGTTCAAGAGCGGTCAAGCAACTTCACTCTACGTGCGAATTTTTTCTACAGTAATTCTGCGGTAAGAACGCAATGTCTCGATATTATCCGCTTATATCGTTATCTGTGCGAGTGCATTTTAATATTTCCTCCTATTAGTAAAATGACATAAAATCACTTATAAAGAAGTTTAAATTGTGAAGTAATTAACAAGAAATAAGCGATAATCTCATGCGTTAGTTATTTCATTAGAAATGATACTATCCATTTTTTAATATAAAGAAAAGAAAAGATAGCGAGGAAGATTATTTGAACGTGTTGCAACGAGCGGGGTGGATTGATCGGAATAACTTTTTTGCGGAACGTATCTTTCCAGAACAAGGTGGTACAACAGCAAAATATGATAAGTTGTGCGATAAGTAATTATTACGAGTATTTAAACGCGGATTACCCGGAATATCGGCAGACTTCGAGTAATCCTCCAGCAGTAATAGCAACGCGGTTTTTGAGTGCGACATAAGCCAAGATGACGGCGTACAAATACATAATCGGCCTGACTGTTCTGCTCGCCGTTCTGTTAACCGTCAACTCTGTACCCGCTAATGGAGCTCTCGACACCTATGCTAATAAGTCACACGATTTCGTCGTTGGCTCCAGGAAATTGGGTGATAGGGTCGTCTTCAAAGAGAACATCATCAAGGATTCTAGCTGGCAGAGGTTTGTGACTGTTGAGAAGACCTTCAATGCCTTATGGTACGACCGTATCACTATGATTCAAGCATTCGACCAGGAGACGGATGGAAACGGCGCGTACGCTAGTATTCTGAGTGGTGGACCTGGACACAGAAACGTCACCATGAAGTTCCAGAGCCAGAGGAGTTACGGCATTAACTTCATCGTTCAGGTGTATGCATGCGTTGATATATAATCGAC